CAGCGCCGCGTGGACGCGGGGGGCTGGTTGTGGGGTCACCCCTAGCTTCCGGGGGTGCGGGGCTTGCCGCACGGGCTGGCTGGCGGGCGAGAGCAGCCGCCCTGCTCAGCTCGGCCCGAGGCGGCCGGGCGTTCAGGCCGACGGTGGCCGTGGCTTCCTGGAGCGCGGTCGGCATGAGGCCCGGTGGGGCGCAGGGGACGGCCCCAGGGGTTCGTTTGCCACAGAATGTCAGAACGCAAGGATGGGTCAGAGGCAGCCAGAGGCTCCCACAGCTCCGCGTCCAGACTGGCTCTGCAGCGGCTGCCCCCGCACGGGGAGACACAGCGCCGCTCCGGGCAGCCCGCTGGCCCCCGACAGCCCGGCCGCCCCCTTGGTGGCCCCGTGGGCAGGGTCCGGCCGCAGCCCTGCGCCCGTCTCCCCGCCCGGGCGGAGCGAAGCCACAGCGCAGCCGAGCTGCTTCCTGGGAGAGCGTTTCCACATTCAGCAGAAAATCGGAAACGGAGATTCGCGGCGACGGAGGTAGCTGATTAGAGGCTGAGCGGCCGGCGGCCCCCGGCGGTCAGGCCTGAGCCCGGCCGCCGCCCCGGCCCCTGCGCAGACACGAGCCGGGCGCAGATACTCAAGTTCCGCCCGAGGCCACTCCCGCTCGGCTCCGCCCGTGACGCTGTCGGACACTGGGGCCTCGTCTGCTGGTGGCTGACCGACTCCTTGTTCTGAAGAAGGAGCTTGCGGGCGGCCCCCGCCCCGGCCCGCCGCGGCCCCCCGCGGCCCCCCACAGGCAGCCTGTGCACCCGGGAAGGCTCTGGGGGCGGAGGCCTGGGGGCCGCATCTGTGCATCTCTGTTGATATTTAGGCCTGATCTCTTCCTGCAAAACAGAGACTAGAAACTTCCCCCGCAAGCGAGAAATAATTAGCCGAAGCCGCAAGCCTGGCCTCTGGCCGGGAGGAGGCGGCCTCGCCCGCGACTGGCAGCCTGGTCGAAGCGCGTCCGGAGCTGGCCCAGGGGTGTTTGCCGGCCGGCGGCTGGCTCTTGGGGAGCTCGCGGTCACAACCCCGAAGCCGGCGATTAGCTTGGCACCGATGCGGGGCGCTGCGTGCGGGGAGGCCCCCCGCAGCCCCGCCTCAGCCTGTTGCTTTTTGACAGGTGCAAAACATGTCTCAATCCATAGAGGTCCTGGACAGGAGGACGCAGAGAGACCTGCAGTATGTGGAGAAGATGGAGAACCAGATGAGAGGTCTGGAGTCCAAGTTCAAGCAGGTGGAGGAGAGCCACAAGCAGCACCTGGCCAGGCAGTTCAAGGTGCGTGTGCCCGGCTGCGGCC